AGTATGCAAACCAAACTGAGAATTCCATGCATCCTACCTACACAATTCCAGAGATAGATTGTTGGAAAGGTGTAAACTACAGGGGTGTAGGGGAAAGGGCAGGTAAATGGGACTGAAAGGATTGCTCTTTATAAGAGCAGCACAGACACGAAGGAATTCTTTCAGTAACAGAATACAGATCACTCTGAATCACGGGACCCTGACTCCAGTTAGTGTGAGAGAGGAGTTTCCCTGGGAAAGGCATGGGAACCTTCCGGCTTTCTCAATCAAAAAAATCACGATATAAATCAGCATGAATTGGGCCCCAATCAAAGCATTAAAGGATCCATTCGATCCAATTAGCCTTTGACGGCTTTCTGAATGAATTCTCCATTTAGTCCCACTCCGCTTCCTTTCCCCGCACGCACCCTTTATATGTTCATTGTCAAATATTTGTCCAATTCCCTTTAAAAGCCATTTAAAAGGATTCTGCTTTAACACTGATTTGGGCCGGGCATTCCGTGACCCATTAACCCTCTGTGTGTAAAAAGAAGCCTCCTAACCTTGCGAGTCTTTTGTTTTCGCTCAGTGTTGTTGGTTTTGTTTCACTTTGCTTGTTTTTAACAAAGATTTTCATTAAACCATCAGCAAGGAAACAAAAAGCACCGCTCATTCAGATCAGCAGTGGACAGCAGGAAACACTGAACCCTCAGCATCCCACATAGCAGAGATGGTGATCGAGTACTCATCACTTGTGTCTGCATGTTGAAAACCTTATTTTTTAATCTCATTCAATCTAAGGCCTTTGGCTACTGTCAGAAAAACAACTGCCGTACATTTTTGTTCCCTGTTTTTTTTGTAAAATACTTTATAGATTAATGCACTTTTTGCTTTTATTCTACATGAATTTCCTTTGTAGCTGGAGGGTTGGTCGCTCATTGGGCGTTAACATCCAGAAAGAAAACCGTGGTAGGGTTCAGCAATTGTTCTGATGTGTGCATAAAGCATTAAGACAGATTACCGAGTGTCAAAAAGGCATTGCTTTTTTCACTACTGAGCCATCCAGGTCAGAGAGTCAGAGGTCTGAATTCTGGGTGTTGAATTTATGACCTTCTGGCTTATATATATTAGTGCTATGCCAAGCAGTGAATTTTCCTGTTGAGTTTTCAATGATTGATACTTTCTTTTAAGAACCTGAATTATATGTATGGCGTTTGTATATGTATCTCTTAAATATAAAGGTGTCTATTGTATTATAGTCTAGTGGGAGGACTCTTGCCTCTGGTTGTGCGTTCAAACTAAACCGATGCTCCAGTACAGTGCTGGGGGAGTGCTGCATTGTTGGAAGTCCCACCTTCGGTTGAGATGTTAAATCAAGGTCCCTTCTGCCTGTTCAGATGACCCTTTGGCTCTATTGGAAGAGAAGGTAGTTTGTCCCCGTGACCTGGCTAACAGTCCCCTAGACAATATAATAATAATAATAATCCTTGCATTTGATATAGCGCTTTTCACATTGGGAGGACGTCCCAAAGCGCTTCACAGAACACACTGTAAAGTGAATTGATTGTATATTTGTGGGTGAACGCGGCAACCAATTGCGCACAGCAATGTCCCACAAACAGTCGTAGATTGAAACTGACCAATTTAATTATTGTTTTTGGTTTTGGAGGGATTATTATTAGGCGTGTGGAGTAAGAAAACTTGCCCAAGTTTCGCCCTGCCTGGAATTGAACTCAGGTCTCTCGCTTGCAAAGCTGTGAAGCGCTTTGAGACGTCTTGATGATGTGATAAGGTATTATGTCAAATGCAAGGATATTTACTGTATATGCATTTCTGTGTAGATACTAACTATGGTTTACGAGCTATGCTTGCGTATACAGTAAACATACAATATATCTTCCTAGATAATATGTTTATATATGTTTATGTGAATATATTTAGTTTGTGTATTGTCAGTGTTTATATAAGAAAGAATAGATGGTATGAATGTGTATCAGTGTTTTATATATCTTGTGAGATGCAGCTGCAGATATGCTTGTGTGGTGTTCTTGGGCAAACACGGAGTTGAATGCAGAATGGTATCAGTGTGTACACATACTTTGGGCAGGGTTATGGAAATCAGTGTCTTTACTGCAGACCAACCGACAGTGGAATAGAATAGAAGAAGTTGGCAGACAAATAAAGAAGAAGAATCCTTTTATAATTACAGGAGATTTCAATTATCCACACAGAGACTAGCAAAGAGAGGGTTTGGGAGTTGAGGAGGGCATGGAGTTTGTGCAATGTGCTGGATTGAGTTCTGTAGCAATACATAGAAACTCCTACAAGAGGGGAAGCATTCCTCAATCTGATGACGGGTAATGAGCCCGAGCAGATGAGTGATTTAAAAGTAGGAAAGCACCTGGGGATAGTGATCATAACATAATATGATTTAAGGTGATGATTGAGAAAGAGTCAGATAAGACAAAGACTTGAGCGCTGGACCGGAAACAATCTCACTACAACGGAATGAGGATCGAGCTCGCTGAGGTAAATTGGAGCTAAAAATTAGCAAATCAATATATTGAGCAACATTGGAAGGTATTTAAATATGACGTAGAGAAGGTACAGTAGAAACTCACTCAAGTAAAATAAAATGATTCAGTAATAAGATTCCCTGGGTGAGTAAGGGACTGACGGTAAAATTTAATCTAGGAAACAAAGCTTATGGAATATTACAGAGAAGTAAACAGAACAACCAACAATAACAACAAAACTACATTTGACCTTTCATGTCAGGAGGATGTCCCAAGGCCCTGGACAATGAGGGTTTTGCATCCAAGGGCTGACAAACTTTTGTGTGTGTGTGTGTGTATACACTGTGTACAGGATTGACATGCTGTGGGTGTCTTGTTCGACCCTCAACTGTTTTTCTTCCCCACATTCAAGCCATGACCCGCTCTGTCTTCCCTCACCTCCGTAACATCGCCCACCTCTGCCACTACCTCACCCCTCAGGCAGCTGAAACTCTTGTTCATGACTTCATCATCTCCAGGCTCGACTATGCAAACGCCCTGCTTGTCGGCTTTCCCAACTCCTCCCTCCACAGACTGCAGATAATCCAGAACTCTGCAGCCCGTTTCCTCTCCCGCACCAAACTCTGTGACCCCTTCTCCCCCACTCTGTCCGACTCCATAGACTCCCTATCCTTCAGAGGATCCAGTTCAAGGTTCTGGTCCTCAAATACAAAGTCCTCAATGGCCTCGCCCCACCCTACCTCTGCGACCTCCTAACCCCCTACCAACCTGCTCATTCCCACCACTCAGCTGGCTCCAGCCTGCTCCATGTCCCCCGACCCACCTGCCCCGCCATTGGCGGGAGAGCCTTCAGCCACTCTGCCTCCAACCTCTGGAATTCCATGCTCCAATCACTCCGCCTCGCGCCCTCCTTAGCCTCCTTCAAGTCTTGCCTCAAGACCCTCCTCTTCGACCATGCCATCGGCCTCCGTTCCCCGCCCTTCTCCCCTCCTGACCCCAGCTCGGGTCTGAAATGCTGTACTGTGTCCAGCGCCTTGGGAAGTCCTCCCGACATGAAAGGCGCTATACAAATGTAATCTTGTTGTTATGTACAGGGCTGACCTGTGTGTGTACACACTGTGTACAGAGCTGACATGCTGTGTGTGTATAAACTGTGTACAGAGCTGACATGCTGTTTGTGCGTATACACTGTGTAGAGGGCTAACATGCTGTGTGTGTGTATAGACTGTGTGGAAGGCTGACATCCTGTGTGTGTGTATACACTGTGTAGAGGGCTAACATGCTGTGTGTGTATAGACTGTGTGGAAGGCTGACATGCTGTGTGTGTGTATACACTCTGTAGAGGGCTGACATGCTGTGTGTGTATATACACTGTTTAGAGGGCTGACATGCGGTGTGTGTGTACACTATGTAGAAGGCTGACATGCTGTGTGTGTATACATGTGTAGAGGGCTGACATGCTGTGTATGTCTGTGTGTACACACTGTACAGGGCTGACATGCTGTGTGTGTGTGTGTATGTGTACACACTGTGTATAGGCTGACATGCTGTGTGTGTGCACACACTGTGTACAGGGCTGACATGCTGTGTGTGTGTACACTGTGTACAGGTCTGAGGTGCTGTGTGTGTGTACACACTGTGTACAGGGCTGAGATGCTGTGTGTGTGTGTACACACTGTGTACAGGGCTGAGATGTGTGTGTGTGTGTGTACACTGTGTACAGGGCTGACATGCTGTGTGCACACACTGTGTACAGGGCTGACATGCTGTGTGCACACACTGTGTACAGGGCTGACATGCTGTGTGCACACACTGTGTACAGGGCTGAGATGCTGTGTGCACACACTGTGTACAGGGCTGAGATGCTGTGTGTGTACACATGGGGAGGCAGCGTGCGCGGTGACGTCAGGGGGCGGGGCGGGGAGGCGCGGCGCCAGCTTCCCGGGGTGCAGTGCGGCGGCGCAGAGCCATCTTTGGCGGCGACAGAGACACACACACTCACACACAGAGAGGGAGAGGAGAGCGGGAGAGACAGGAACAGAGTGTGTGAGAGGCTGAGACACACACACAGACAGACACAGAGAGACCGTGAGGGACACAGTCACACACACACACACACCACACAGAGTGACACGGGACCGACTCGCGGTGCCGACAGCCTGAGCCTCCCGATGCCTGGACTCCTCTTCACAGACTATTGCTGAGGGGCCGAGAGCCGGGCGACCAGTGCCCGAGGCCCGGGGGGGTGGGTTGGGGGGGGATACACCGGCAGCAGACGTCGGCATTTAACCTGCGACAGCGGCCTGCACCTGAGGGCAGCCGCGAGCTCGAGTACCGCCCGCCCGCCGCGGGGGACAGCCCCGAGGAGCCTCGGAAGGGAAGAAAGGGGTATGGCGCGTCCCCCTCGCCGCCAGGAGGTACGCTAGGCCGGGGCGGGCCAGGGAGTCGGCGAACAGCGACCCGGAGAGCGAGAGAGAGAGTGTGAGAGAGAGTGAGAGAGGGAGCGGCAGAGGCTCCGGGCGGAGCGGAGAGCAGAGGAGCCGTTTCCCCGGGACGTCCGCCGCCGCCGCCGCCGCAGGGATGCGGGCGCGTGTTGCCGCCGCCGCGTCGCGGCTCAAGTGAGAGGAGAGTCGGGGGACAGGGCCCAGGAGCCTCGGGGCTCGCCTGTGAGCTTACTCTCGTGCCGGGCCCCCCAGCCCCGAGCCGCCGCCGCCATCATGCCGGTGAAGAAGAAGAGCGGCTTCCAGATCACCAGCGTGACCACGGCGCAGGTGGCGGCCAGCAGCCTGACCGAGGACACGGAGAGCCTGGAGGACCCGGACGAGTCCCGCACCGAGGACCTCTCCTCGGACATCTTCGACGTGTCCTCGCGGGCCACCGACTACGAGCAGGAGGAGGTGTGCGACCGCAGCTCGTCCGAGGAGACGCTCAACAACGTGGGAGAGGCGGACACCCCGGGCGCCGTGTCTCCTAACCTGCCGCAGGACGGCCTGCCCGGCCCCGCCCGGCCCCGGCCCGCCCGGCCCCGCGCCATGCGGCCTGTCCTCCCGCCTGACCGCCGGCCCAGCGACTCCCGCTCCCGGGGCGGCCGGCGGGGCGGGTCCGGCCGCCACGCCGCCTCTGTCCTCCTCCAGCAGCGGCACGGCCTCGGTGCAGCCCGCCGTCGCCTGCACCTCCCGCTTCAGGGTGATCAAGCTGGACCACGGCTCGGGCGAGCCTTTCCGCCGCGGTCGCTGGACCTGCACCGAGTTTTACGACCGGGACTCGGACAGCACTGTGCTCGGCAGGACGTGCGACAGCATCCGCCACAACAGCAGCGCCCTGGAGCAGCAGAGCGCCGAGAGGGACAGCGGCCTCGGCGCCACGGCCAGCTCCGGCCTCGGCCTCCCGTCTCACTCGGTGCCCGCCGCCGAGTCGCTGAGCGACGGCTCGCAAGTGGTCGCCGTCTCGCAAGTCTATCCCACCTCTGCGGTAGTCAACCCATCGCTGGGAGGCCCACAGCAGCACCAGTCCCTGGTAAACGTCCAGACTGCGGCAGGACAACCGAATGGGATGGCCCTGCAGCCACCAAATGCAACCATCTCCCAGACCAACGTGGCTGGGGCACCTCTGCAGGCGCCACCGCCGCAGTTTACCTTCGCTCAGACCCAGCTCCCACCCGTGCATCTACTGCCATCGCAAGCCGCAGTTCCCAACAGCCAGCTCGAGTATATGCAACTTATGCAGGGTCCTGGAGCCATCCCGCAATCCGCAAATTCACTTATACCCAGTGCTGGAGGTCCCAGCCTAACTGTGGTTCCCGGTCCTTCACCAGTGATGCAGGCCAGTGGAGCTCTAGTGATGGGAGTGCCAGCACAGAGCAGTGATTCAGTCGGTCTAAGTGGACAAGGGATGCAAAATGTTGTGCCAGGTACTGTGCCAGGTGTGGTCTTGCAGCATCAAAGCCTGGGCTCATCAGGGGTTCAGCAACATGTTCAAGCTTCAAGTCTGCAGCCTGGAATGGTCAGTCAGCTGTCTGGATTGTTTAGTGGGTCTCACATTGTGGCTCCTGGCATCCAAAATGTGCCTGCAGTTGTGCCCAGTACTGGTGTTTCAAGTGTACCAACTAGTATGCCTACTAGTATATCTACCACTCCTGTTACTATGCCAAATGTTCCAGCAACAATGGTTCAACTTCAGCAAAGCACTCAGACATCGATTATTGGGAGTACCACTGGCCTGATGCAGTCTGGGCTTCCTGCTGCGATGCAAGGTTCAATCAATTTATCTTCAACCATGTCACAGACTAACCTTAGTCAGTTCCCGGCACAACAAGGAGCAGGCCAACTGGAGGAGAGACGGAGTTCAGAACAGCTCATACCTCAATCTGGTGAAAGCAAACCCTCTATGAAGCCTTTTATTCCTGAGATTCTTGGTAACCCTCTGCATTTACAAGTGGCAACTCCAATGAACAGCCTTGCAAATTCTGTGTTCTCTATCCCGATTGATGGGGATGAAGACAGGTACGATATTTATCTTTTGTGAGTTAATGTTTGCCGTTTGTGCATTGCATTTGGTTTGAAAGATGCCTTGTGGTTTTCTTTGTGCCTTAACATGCTTCAGTTCTGATGTTCAAAAGGCACATTGCTGCTTGCACCTATCCTAAGTTGTCTTAAGTTGGGGGTAAGATTCCCCAAGGCATCTTACCTGAGTGACCTTTCTTTCCATGAACAATGTTGCTGGGTTGTAGCACAATAATGGGTATCATTCCATAGTGATCAGAACTGGGAAACTGGCTCATTTCCTTCCCTTTCTAAACCAGGAAATGCTGAGGCCAGTGTTTTTTTGCCCACTGTACAGACCATTAATCAGATGGTCTGGTGTTCCAAACTAAAATAGTCCTGGTGCTTGTGGGCTGGTGACGAGTCAGTAAATTGATCGACCGATATGCTGATTTAATGGCACCTTTTGGGAGTGATGTGCTTGCTGTGTTTGGGGTGCTGGCAACCTTTTTACAAGCCTAATGCCTCTTTATGGTTTGTCAATTTATGATGGTTGCTCTATGAAGGGCCTTTCTGTAGTGTGCCATTTTATAAAGCTTGAATTAAACAAAGTATTGCTGATTATGTTTATACATTGCTGGGTATTTGCTAATATATTTTGGCCAGCAAAGTTTTTATCGAGAATCTCAAATCTTATTGAGAAATTGAAGTTTCATGTGGAATCAATATCATGCTTTCAGCTCCAACACTACCTAATGTGGACTTCAGGAACAATTGGGCATTTGTCTTAAAAACTAATCTAATAAATTAGCACCTAAAAATCCTCTTTTTAATCTACAACATAAAATACTTTTTAAACCCCCCAAAAGAAGTTAAAGGTAAATGTACTGTTACCAAATGTTACTTTGAGGTGCTGCATATCTGAGATTCTTTCCTCTTGAGGAAATATTGGATTCAGCACGAGTGCCTCGTCTCCAACATGACATTGAGTTTTATCGTTCATAGTAATTCATATCTCATGGTGACCGACTTTAAAAGATAGCAGTTATTCATAAGCTGAGGTCTTAAGATGCTCCTTTTATTGGTGTTTATTATCTCTATTTTTTAATATAAAAAAGTATAATTTTAGTCAGGCAAAACTCCAGAAGCACTAGGTTTTGAATATGATCTGAGTTTCCATGGATCCTAGTTCCGTAAACACTTGGTTAACTGAACCCTAAGAAGTATGGAGTTTATATTATTAATGCAGTAACCATTCCCTTTTGCTGTTGGCACTGCAATGCTTCTCTGTAACTGCTGATCCTCATCCTCACCTACAAGGCCATTCACGGCCTTGCTCCCTCCTACCTCTCCGACCGTGCCTTCAGCTCCCCTCTCGACTCTCTACCCCCTCCTCACTCCCTCCCTTCCCTCCCCTCACCCTGACCATCTCCCCCCTGCTCGGGTCCTGACCTAATTGTCCAGCGCCTTGGGATGTCCTCCCGACGTGAAAGGCACTCTATAAATGAAATCTTGTTGTTGTTGAAAGATCATAGTTTCAATAATTGGTAACTCATCATCTAAGCTGCCACTCCAATACAGCGCTGTAGTGTTTGAGGTGTCGTACTTCGGAAAAGATATCTGCCTAGGAGAATGTTAAAGATCCCATGCCAATGTTCGAAATGAGATAGAAGTTTCTACCAGTGGTCTGGCCAACAATCCCTCAGATAAAATTGGTCCTTCATTTCATGGCAGTTTGTGGGACATTGCTGTGCGCAAATTGGCTGCCCCGTTAACTAAATTTTACAATAAATTCCTGTGAAATGCTGCTATGAGACATCTTCCTGAATTGAAAGGTGTTATATCAAATATGGGGCTTTTATTATTTAAACTTAACTCTGGAAAGAAATCTTTTGTATAAATTATGCATATCTTCTATGATTGCTTTCTCCCCCTGACAAAATGCCTTGAACTTGTGTCCGATTTAGATCACTTGTGATTTCTATAAATTCCCCAAAGCAGTTACCATGTACTTTGCATGTGTGGTATGCTTTTCCATTGCTGCATGGTGGCTGGGGAAAAAATTAACATTTGATTTGTCAAACTTGAAATACTGAATGAAACCATATTTAACCTTTAACTTGCACTATTGCTGTTGGGGTTTGTATATTTGGGAGGATGAGTCCCAGCATTGGTTTTCCCCTGACCACAGACAATACAGCAGACTTGCCATTTCATCTGCACTGAGTATATAAAGGGCTATCACATTGCTATCTGTTTAATAATTGAGGCTATAATGGTTAGGGCAGTCAAGAATTAATAGTTGTACTTATATAATATAAGGAATATAATGCTGCATTGTACATTGCATTAGGAGCACTTATTTTGCATTGACTAAATGCTGGAGGAAATGTTTCCACTGGTTAGAAGCAGGATGCATCAGGAGCAGCTGTTTCCAGTTAGGCAGGCCAAAATATCTTTACAAATGGTTTGTTGCACACTTGTTAACTGGTCTGCAATATGCTTGTTTTAGTTGAGGCTTTATTTCTGATGATTACCAATTATAATCTTGGAAGCATATAATATAAATTGGTCATTTTCAATTCACGACTGTTTGTGGGACACTGCTGTGCGCAATTGGCTGCCGCGTTCGCCCACAAATGTACAGTCAATTCACTTTACAGTATATTCTGTGAAACGCTTTGGGACGTCTAGAAGACGTGAAAAGCACTATATCAAATGCAAGGATTATTATTGTTGTTTTAGGAGATAGCTACGGCATCACAGCTGACTAAATAGGATGTATTCACAATTTTTATTGTACTCCCATCACTAACTACGTTTTATATACTCATTATCCATAGATGTGATACAGTGCCTTTCATGTTGGAAGGACGGCTCAAAGTGCTTCAACGGATTATTGTAAAGTGTAGTGACTATTTTGCATTAAACATGGCCAATTTGCACTTAATAATGTCACAAACGCTCATGAAGTGAATTACTCAATTTTATTTTGAGGATTGTTGGGCAGCACACCAGAAGAGAGAAATACCCTTCTCTTTTTGAATAGTGCCATGGGATCCTCCTGAACAGGCAAATGGTACTTCGGTTTAACATTTCATTCGAAGGACAGCACCTCTGACACTTCCGTGCTCCCCCAGTACTATCCTGGAGCATCAACCTAAACTGTGAGCTCAAAGTCCCAACATGGAGTTTCAACCCACAACCTTCTGACTTGGAGGCATGTGCTTCTACCAACTGAGACAGGCTGACACTCAGCCTGTTGGGTAGCCGACACAATAGATTTTACCTTCAATTTTGTGACTCGGCTGATAAAGGAACTGTCTGAAGATGAGTCAAACACTGAGAAGATCTCTGTTTAGTGTCCTGTATTGCTGGCTTCGCTGATCTCAGCTGACCCTGGGCTTGTGAGGTCCCTATTTTATGCTGATGATTTGCCTCATATGAAGCTGCAAGAAAGTGCATGAGAATGATAGCCCCACCCTCTGTGGTCATTCGCTGTCTGCTTTGGCGCAGAGAACAGATGCTTGTGCAGGATCTTGGGCCTGTGGCTAGCACACTTAGCACCGAATATCAACATAGGAGCAGATCCACAAAGTGTTGGAAGATGAACTGAATTGGTGTACCTGCAGCTGATTGTAAAATAACTTACTTTGAACGTATACATAAAACGGTAACTGTTCTTGAGTGCAGTAGTGTTTTAGGTTTGCCCTGTTTTTAAACGTGTTGATCAAAGGCCATAGTCTCAGGACCTCCCACAGGTTGAGTTGGCATTTGAGTGCTGAACAAGGGAGTCACTGCCAGTATTTTCCTTGGAAACTGTGCAAATATTAGTGCACCTTCAAGTGACTGAAAGCTGTTACTGCATTCTTTTAAGTATAGTAATTAATTTCCCAGGTTTGCAGGACTTTCTGTTGGAATTCCCTATAAACCCAGGAAACAAAAATCAGACTTTAAATTTGGGAAAATGTTGTCATCTGCCCTAAACTGGGTTAAAAGCTCTTGGGATTATTGCCTATATTGTACATGGAAAAACCTGCAGTATTTTGTATGAACCTAAGTAGTTATGTAAAATAATACTCCTTGCATTTGATACAGCACCATATCATAGAGTAGTGACTATGTAATGGTTGGTGAATGTGGCTAATAATTTGTACTCAGCAATGTCCCACAAACAGCTATGAAATGAATGATCGTGTTTACCTGGAGACTTGTTTACCAGGAGAAAGGAAACTCCCTTCTCGTTTTGAATAGTGTCATGAGATTTTGACTGGGCAGCCAGGATAGACCTCAGTTTGATATTTCATCCGAAAGTCTGGACCTCCACCCATGACCCCCACCATCACAGATTGGAGTGCCACACTAGACTATGAGCTCAAAGAACCAACATGAATTCTTGAGATTTCACATACTTTCCGATGCGAAGGGTGCTATACAAGTGTAACTTGTTGCTGTATTGTTAAAGGGCACACATCTGTGAACGTTAGATTGAAATTAGTTGTTAGCTCTTCGGTTGCTCCATCTCGCTCGGTGACCAGTTCTCTGTTACTACGCCCCACCCCACCACCACTGGGTCACTCCCAAATTCCCTTCTTGCTCTTTATTCCCCTTTAGAAACGTTTCTTTGACCGTGCATTTGGTCAATGCCCTTGAATTCTCACTGTTTGGTGCTTCCCTATCATCTCTGTGAAGCACATTGAGGCTTTCGTCCTTTAAAGTTGTAATGTAAATGATTATTGTTGTAGTGTTGGGCTAATGCACAATGCGACAAGATGCATTCTGTTGGCAGCAGACTGTTGATCTTTGGTTACTAGGGTCTTTTTTTGGGGAAGAGTTTTACCGTTTACCAATGGGATCATCTGCTCAATGTTTCCAGTGGCAGAGAACCACTCCCTATCTGGGTAATTCTTCAGGAGTACCCTGCTTCCCTGTGATGGGAATGATTTAACTCAATATCTTAAAATTAAACTGCCAATCCTTGATACTTGCCTGCAGATATGAATTGCATGATTAGATTTTAA